AATATTCCATTGTGTATATATACCACAGTTTCTTTATCCATTCATCTATTGAAGGGCATCTAGGTTGGTTCCACAGTTTAGCTTTCCTTAAAAGAAATCAGTAATCAGGGTTTGGTGTTTCTGGCCTATAATCCAAGCTATTGGGAAGGCTGAGACAGGAGGATCACAAGATCATAAGCCTGGGCAACTTCATGAGACCCTATCTCAAAAATTTAAAAAAACCAAACAAACATTGAAATAGGGCTAGGGATGTAGGTCAGTCGTAGACAATCCCTGGTACTGCAAAAAAAAAAAAAAAAATCATTAGTACATTAGTACTTTTGTCCCCTCCCCTTTCCATGACAATACAAGGTAAAGAAGTTGGTGAGACAGTTCTGTCAGTCAACTGTCCTTGGATGAAGCCCAGTACTGAACCACCCTCAGGAACATGTAGCGGATCTTCTCACATCCAGCAATTTTCCCACTACTTCCTTGTCATTCCTGGGACTTGGGAATCCTTCTATCCCACCTGAGCCACGATGGGCCCAGGGACCTTCACAAGACCATTTGGGGCCCCTATCCATCATCACTATCTGACCATTTCCTCTCCCAGGTCTTATTCCCATTGTTGAGATCCAGCATGTGACATCTGTGTTCCCGTCACTTCCTGTTATCCCATTGTTTTCTCTGAAGTGGCATCTGGCACCCTCTTCCATGGACACAGGCCCACGGAGGCAGCAAATGTGGGTCCTGTAGGCTTCTTTCCCCCTCATTCTCTGACTAGTACTAATGGGAGAAAGAGAGCAGAGAACACCAGGAGAAAAAGGTAGATTTGTCTATTTATCATGACATCACTGTCATCATTGTTGTCATGCCAGCCTCTCTCCAAGGCAGCAAGTTTTCACCTGCATAGGCAGAGCAGAGCCCAATATCCCAATCACCCGCTGGCTGAGAGGTATGAATCTTGCAATAAACAAATGCTCAAAGAATATTTTTACTGAGCCCCTGTTGTGAAGGCAGTCATGTGCTCACAGCAAGGGGACGTGAGGAACTCACAGATGAGACCAGCACAGGGAAGGCTGGTGGGTGCGAAGAGTGGAGAATGCAGAGCTGGGAATCTGTCTCCTTTGGGGTCCTGGCTCTGTCACCAGCAGTAGGCTGGCCATGAAGAATCTCCCTGAGCTGGGCTCGGTGGTGCACACCTGTAATCCCAGTGGCTCAGGAGGCTGAGACAGAAGGATCCTGAGTTCAAAGCCAGCCTCAGCAACTTTCTTGATGTCCCAAGAAACTTGGAGAAACCCTGTCTCTAAATAAAATATAAAAAGTGCTGGGGATGTGACTCAGTGATTAGGCATCTTGGATGCATCCCCCGGTACTGAAGAAAAAAAAAAAAAAAAAAGGAGATCTCTGAGCCTCAGTTTCTATCAATACAGGGGAACAATAATACCTATCCTTCCTATTTTGTAATGAAGTGGTCTCTTTCTTTTTTTCCCTTTGAAAGGACACTAAAGTTTATTTAAGTCCAAAGTCAATAGAGATCTTTTATTGCATTACTGAAATATCAGATTAACTCCAGGACTGTTTCTGTGGCTGAACACGCTCAGATCTTATTTATCAGCCTGCTGAACTGTTCCTTTTTCAGAATCATAAATGCCATCCAAAATTTTTCCCATATTCTTGTTTTTCACTATAGGGGCTTGCTGACTTAAAAAGGCTGAATTTGAAACAAGTTCAACATCATTTCAAAACTTCAATGATTAATTCATCTTTCTGAGCTTGAGACACTGAACAAGCAAACCCTCATCCAAACCCTGCAGATGTATTTTTCATCCAAGAAATTTCAGATTTCAACAAAGAGACCCATTCTCCTGAATAACGACGTTAATGGGGATGTATGCGTACATATTCCTCATCTTTTAATGGAAGCCCAGCATAACACCCTTGATCATGTTCTGTATATGACCACAGATCACACGAACAGTGGCCAGTTCCCTTCTATTTCCCCACCATTTGTCAACCCGTAGCCTCTTCCTTTTCTTTCCAAGGAGGCTGAGTTCTACATTGATATGACTGAAATCCCTCCAGAGGGTTCCTCTTGGGCCCTTCACAATAACTGTGAGTCCCTTCAGAGTAATATCGGCATTTTCTGGAATGTCGACAGTGTGACTACTGAGAATGGTGTTCATTCTCACAGTAGATGCAGCAAAGAGAATGAAGTGGTCTCCTTCTACTTCAGAAATGGAAAGGACTCTGCACATATAGGGGTCATTATATTTAGTACAGGGAACAGTCAAGTTTGGGGACGGGGGACTTCGATTGGGTGGGAAGGGCCTTGAGTAGATAGACCTACCCAGGCAAAGCAGACCTCTGGTGATGAATTTCAGGAACAGGAGACCAGGTGGGCAGGGTTGAGGGAAGGAATAGATAAGGGGGTGCTGGGGCTGGGTTTGAAGGGTTGCCAAAGCCCTTCCATGAGTTAGGTCTTGTTGGAGCAGACAGTGGGTGTTTAGCTTTTGCAGGTGTCTGAGCTAGGGCGATACCTAAAGGATGTGTAGAGATGGCAAAAGTGATTCACAGCCTGCTAAGTTGGTTTTAATTGGTAACATTAGGCCTTTTCTTACTCCAGTTAATGGGATCACCCCCCTAGCTCTAAAGCTGTCCTTGACTTCTCTGAGACATGCTTCCTCTTCTGGACACTATGGTGTCCTCTGGCTGGACTGTAACTCTTTGGCAGCAATTGCACCACACAGTGCTTCCTGGAAACATCCATGGTTTCCTGCTTGAACTTGCTGATTCCCTCAGACCACAGAGGTCTTTCCCTCCTGTGGCTTCTGGGTTGTGTGCCTCACTTATGGGGCTCTGTTCATGGAAGGCAGTGGTTCTCAGCCCTAGCCGCTTATTGGAATGACCTGAAAATTGGTTTTCAAAGTGTTTCCATGCCTACGTTGTATTTTAGATCAACAGCATTGTCAGCTCTGGGGTAGGACTCTGGCATTGGGATGATTTCTAAATACCCCAGGTAACTTCCATGTGTACAGTGGGTTTTGAGAATTCACAGCCGAGCACTGACAATTAGGCCTTCTGCCTTGTGATCACTCCTTCCAGGTATGCACCGTGCACACCTGGAATACATCAGGGAACAGGAAGAAAGCAGTAGGATTTCAGTTTATATTTATTTTAAATCCTATTCTTTTTCAACGTGCAAGCTTTACAGTCACTAACTGTCCTGGAACAGTAGTTATGATAACAACTGTGGGCAGCCCTTGAGCCTTTACTGTGGCTGGGCTCTCATCTAAGCACTTTATGCTAAGAACTTAGCACTTTGCAAAAGCCAGATGAGGTGGGTACTGTTGTTAACCCCACTTTATAGATGAAGGAATTGAGCCCAGAAAGATTGATTACCTGGCCAAGATCACACCACACCACTTCACTTAGCAGCCGAGCCAAGATTCAAATGCAAGTGGATTCCAGTACTCATCTTTTACCCACAATGCCAGTCTGCTTCAATAAATCATATGCAAATAAGACACAGATACTGGGGAGATCTGCACAGCATTTTTTATTAATAAGGTTTCCTAATCAAATAACTAAACTACAGATGGCAGACTGTGAGTCCTTGAGGCAAACTTTAAATCTCACTCTTTGTTTGGTCCACCAGAGGCTAGCAGGCATGTGGGGTCCAATATATAATCAATAAATATGTGCACACTCCTGGAAATATCAGCTAACTGGTAATCATGACTAACATTGATCAACTCTTGCCACATGCCAGGGACATCATACTTAATCTTCACAACAATCCTGTGAGGCTACAATTATATTCAATTTGCAAATTAGACACAGAGCAGCTAAGTAACTTGTCAGAGTCCAGAACTTGAACCCAGATTGTGGCACTTCACAGCTCACTGGGACCCACTGTGAACAGGTCCACAGGGTTCATGCAGGTGGCTGGGTTCAGAAACATCAGAATGGAGGCAGAAATTGACTATTTACTCCTTCCAGGTGGTTCTTTTGCCAGGCAGGCCCTTCTCTGTTTGCTTGACAGGCAAACTCCTACCTGCCCTCAAATTCAGCTATGGTGGCCGAGTGTGGTGACCTCCGGGAAGCCTGCTGCAGTTAGCTGCACTGCCTGGCTGTCCATGCCTTCTCTTTTAGGCGCTCCCTAAAGGCAGGGCTGGGGCTTACTCCAGGGAATCCACGGAGCAGGCTCGGCAAACCTGTGGGTGGGCTTGGCCTGTCCCCCTTCCACCACAGGTTAGAGACATCCCATTCCCTGGGCTTTTCCTCTGTGGGTGCCATTCCCCTTTTCTCCTCTTCTTCGCCCACCTCCTTCCTCTTCTTCCTCCCACGTGTCCTTTCCTCAACCTCCCTTCCTCCTCCTCCCTCGCCTGCTCCTCATCTCCTGCGCCCAGGGTGGCCGGCCCCCGGCCCGGCTCGGGGCTGCAGTTCTCCCGGCCGCCGACAGAGGGGGCCGCTGCGCAGCCGCGGGCCGCGCCCCTCCAGCGCGCGTTTCCTGTGAGGTCAGGTGGGAGGAAGCGGCCCGGAGCCGCCGAGTGGACGCCGCCGAGGCTCCGCAGCCGCGCACGCAGGTGGGTGTCCGTGCTGGGGGAGACGAGGGACCCGGAACATCCTTCCCGGTCCCCTGGGCCTGGCCTCAGAGCCGGTGTCAGGCCCCGAGGCCGCGCTCGGCGCCGGGCAGCGTCCCTCCGCCGCCGCAGCCCCCACCCGCCGCGTCGGTGCACCGAGGGCCAGCGCGCCAGGGCCCACCCAGCGGGGGCGGGATGACAGAGCACAAAGAGACAGCGGAGGACCACTACCCGCTTGGCCTGCACCCGGGCCAGCAGGCTTCAAAAAGGAGGCCCGCCGGTGCCAGCCTCCGAGGCACGAGAACAGGGCTCTCATCCTCTTTGGGAGTGGGTGGCCCCGAGTGTTTTTGAGGGTTTAGGTGAAAATTGCGGTTCAGCTGTTCGCGGGCGGGGGGGAATGGCCTTTGCACAGACTCAGGGAGGGGCGTGGAAGGGCTCCCAGCTCAGGGGCGCCCTTGGGGTCAGCAGAGCGGAGACCTCCCAGTGCCACTGGAGCATTCAGCTCACCGTTTTGGAAAGGCTGGGCCCGGCCTCCCTTAGCAAAGGACAGACCATGTTACCAGACAGGTGAGGGGCAGGTAGGGGGCGTGCCCCCTCGCCGCAGAGGTCTATCTTTCCCAGCCAGTGCTGGGGCTGTGTAGTGGCCAGTGTGATCGCCATTATGGTCTGTCGCCAGGCAGTGGACCTCAAGTAACCCTGAGTGGCCCAGATCTTTCAGGGGTTCCTGGCTGGAGAAGGCCCAGGTTCTTGGCGTTTGCTCCCAGGGGAGCAGCACCTGGGGCTCATTTTTGAATGGAAGGGGATTTGAGAGCTGGGGGTCCTGGTACCCTGGACTCTGTTTCCCAAAGAAGACCCTGGCGCCCGGGGTGCTGCTTCATGCTCTCCCTCTGTTTGCTGCCTGGAGATGTAGGCGCCTCCACAGCTGCCCACATGCCCCTGGGGTGCCACCTGTGCAATGGCTGTGCAGTACCTACCACAGGAACACTGTAGGCCTGACAGATGTCAGGGGGGCTGGCCTTCCAGTCCCAATGCTGCTGCTGGTCCTGGATCATAATAAAACTCCCTTCTGCAGGAGTCCTTTCGGTTTTTTTTCTAGTGGACTCTGTGTCTGCCAGATTTTTGTCCCACAAAAAATTTGTATTTATGTCTCCCCCTTTTATTAAGCAGACAGCACCTGCTCAGGGTGGGTGACCAGGTAAGCTCCCCTGGTGCAGCAGTCGGCTCTCAATCTTTGGGAAATGTGTTTCCTTCAGGCTCTTTGAGGTCAGGGGAAGCATCATCCATTGGCCCTCAGGATCCTAGTGACAGATCACTAAGGGTTCAGGGCTAATGGGGAGGAGGGACCTCTGGCCACATGGTTTCTTCCATCAGCCCCCACCCTGGCCATGAATTACAGGTGCCGCCCAGTAGGGACCCACAGCTCCTGGAGGATGGTGCGGATCTTGGCCAATGGGGAAATTGTTCAGGATGATGACCCCCGAGTGAGGACCACTACCTCGCAGAGAGGTAGCTCTCCTCGGCAGGTAGGCATCCCCTGGGGAGGGGGAGCAGCCTGCCTTCTTTGTTACTCCTTAACTTCTAGAAGTCTCTCTTGCTGGTCATTAGCCTTCTCTAGCCTGAAGCCCTCTTTGGAAAGAGCTGAGCAAGGGAGCGCAGAGGGTCAAGACAGTGGGCAAATGCTGTGGGTTTACTGCCCAGTCCCTGTCTCCCCAGTTCTCTCCCCTCTGGGCAATTTTCTCCCCAAGAGCTCTCTCTCCTTTAACCTGGCTAGTGAATCCTGCTGCAGTTGGTTTATTTTGAAAGTCTGTTGGATGGGAGAAAACCTGGAGAGTGAGGGGAAGAGTTGAGCCCATGGCCACAGAACTATTTTAAAGAAGGGAGTGCCCAAGAGCTGTGCCCATGCTGAGTAACCCCTGCCTGGTCACTTCTTGTCGTCTCTCTGGGCATTATATTGGGAATTCACACTGGCATTTTCCGTACTCTGAGAGCTTGTGATCCAATCGTTGGGAGTCTATGGGTGGCATACAGAATTGCTAAGGAAGGAGGGAGTGGCCCAAGGTGGCTGTCAAGGAGGGCAGGGCCCAGCCTGGAGTTCCCTCCTGGCTGGTGCCTCAACTCCAGGACAGCTTTCTCTGGATTCATTTGTTTCTCTCTGTCTTCATCTTCCAGGGCTTTCTCAACAGGGGCCATGGTGTCCCCCCTGGGGGGACCGGCCCCCGCCCACAGCAGGCAGGTGCCAGGCTGGGGGCTGCCCAGTCTCCCTTCAATGACCTCAACCGGCAGCTGGTAAACATGGGCTTCCCCCAGTGGCATCTGGGCAACCATGCGGTGGAGCCGGTGACCTCCATCTTGCTGCTTTTCCTGCTCATGATGCTTGGTGTTCGTGGCCTCTTGCTGGTGGGCCTCGTGTACCTGGTGTCCCACCTGAGCCAGCGGTGACCTCGAGGGCTGACGGGGGTTGGTGTGTCGAGAGGGACTTGCTGGGCCTTGGTGTTGGAGCAGGCATGTGGGGAGGGGACCATGAATTTGGATTGCAGGTATGGTGAGAGGGACCATGGGTTAAGCCGGAGGCAGAGGGAGGCTCTAGTCTAGCATCCCCAAGCCTAGGGTGGGCACCCTGGTTGTCTTGAGATGTTCAGGTGGTCTAGGGCCTCCATTAAGTGACACAAAACCAGAACCAGGCGTTCTCTTTCCAATTCTCTTTGATCCTTTTATGCCAAGAAGAAGTCTTAACTTGGTGCCAACGTGTTGGATGCCTCCAGGACACGAGCTGCCTTCTCCGTTACCGGGGAGCAGTACTGGGTCTAGGGCAGGTGGGAGAAGTTTCCAGACTTTTATAACACTGTTTTGTTTTAATGGTGTATTTTTATTGGCTACCTTTTATTTCCGATGAGGGGTACCGGCATTCTATTTATTGTGACATTTTCAATAAATAGATTTAAGTAAAAATGAGTCCATGTAAAGAAATTTATTACTAATCATGCAGCTGCACAGATCTGGAAAGGATGGTGAAGGTGGCTGGGGGCAGCTGGGCAAGGGGTGCGGGCGGCCGCAGGCTGATGGACCTAGCCTCAGATTCCTCACCCTCAGGATCTACTGTGTCCACTGAGGGAAGGCACAGGATGGGGGGCCAGGGCTGGGGGAGGACGGGCGGGGAGGTGGACACTGGTTCCATCGCTCCTGAGGTCTGCTGTGCTGCCTCAACAGAACCTTCTCCTGCAGGCGCCACATCCCCTGCTGCCCTTAAGGGGGTGGTGGCCTTTATCACAGACATTCCCTGGGGAACTTCATGTCACTGAACAGGACTCCTTTCTCAGATAATGTTTCTGTGTCTTCATTTCTTGGCAGTGATTGGGACACATGTTCCCTTTGTGATGGGCATGTGGGGTGGTGTCTGGCTTTCACCGTCCACTCTGGGGTCTGGGCAAGGGGAGGCTAGCTTGGCTGGTATCCCAGATGCTTCTTGTGGCATCTCCTGCCCTGGCATGGCCACCTGCCACTCACCTGGATCCTGAACTCCTGCAGCGCCAGCTGAGCCAACGGAGGGGAATTCCTGCCCAGCGCCCGTCGCGCCAGCTCCCCTCACCCCCAGCTTGTTTCTTTCCCCCTTTCACAGTGGACTCTCAATATAGAAAATGCCTCAGGGGCTGGGAAGCACACTGGGGAGCACGTTCCTCAGGCAGCCTCTGCCCCAGATTCAGACTGGACGGGAGGCTCTGGCCTAGGTCTCCTCACTGGAAGGCAGGAGTGGGCACTTTCTCCTGTCCCCACCCACCTCCCCACCGTGTGCCGGGAGCCCCAGCTGGGCTGCCTTGCAGACACTAGCCCCACCCAGAGGGCAGACTTGGGGGGTGGCTTCTGCTCCTCCAGGGCTGAGCCCCGGAGCCCTGTTAGGTTGGACCCACCTGCCTGGCCACGGAGCTCCTGCTGTCTGACTTTCATTTTTTCCTGCCCAGCCTCCGAGGAGCAGCTGACCTCAGAGTGCCACAAGTTTCAAGCCCTCGGTTCTCTAAGTTCTGCCTCTCTCCAGCTGGCCCTGGAGGTAGGGCCGCACTTCCATCTCCCCAGACAGAGGCAGACACCAAGCCTGAGATCATAAGCTACAGTTTTGCTACATCTTCCAGCTCCCTGTCCCTGGGACCAGAACGTGCCAAAGGCACTAACTGGGACTGGTCCTGTGAGACCAGGGGAGGCCATGGCTTGGTGGCTGGAGCCTCTGCTCGCTGGATGCCTGACCTTGCTGACCTTGACCTCCCATTTCTGTGGCCAAGGCAGCCTTTTGCGGGCCCTGCTCTGCTCTCTGTAGTGCACAACCTGGCACCCTTAACTCAGCCCCCTGAAAGCTGGTTTCCTCGTCACTACCAAGGTTGACACCGTGGTCCTCCTGCCTCTCAGAGCCTTTTAAGAGGTCACCCAAAGTGTGGAGGACAGGGCTGTGGAGATGATGACTGCACCAGTCTCTGAGCCTCCTTGCCCCATGGCTCCCAGGCCAGAGGCTTCAGCCCAGAGTGGCCACCATGTCCTGGGTACTTCGGGAACCCCTGGCTATGATAGGGCCAGGCTTTTGAGACTGGTGTCACCCCTCCCCAGCTGTTGGTGAAGTGCAGCTGCTTCACTCTGCTCCTGGGAGCTGAGGGGCTTATTGAAAGTCCCTAGTGTCAGGATGGGGGGATGTTTGATGACCATGTGCAGTGCCTGACCCCCACCAGTCACTTTATACCACCATATTGTCTCTGAGCCTTTTGAAGTCCGCCCTCAGGGACATTCCTCTATTTGGCCTCTGGCTATACTCACACCCACCCTATCTGGAACCCAGTTACAGAGGCAGATTGCCAGACACCCCCCCCCCCACTGCAGGGACCCCCGACATCAGCACTGTGAGGCAGAAGGCATGGAGGGAGGTGCAGGGGCGTGGCTGCCACTGCCCAGCCAGTGGCCTCCATACCGTCCCTGCTCCGCTGCAGTCATGAGGGGGCTGCAGCCCTCTTTCCTGTATTTTTAAGTGTTTCACAATCCATGGCAAACTGAGGAGAGGAGAAATCTTTTTGCAAAGGTCTCGGAAGGGCTGTACAGGGGTGTGGTCCAGGGCAGGAGGGGAGAGGGGACACTGGCAAAGGGCTCTGCTGCCAAACTAGATGGAGAGCAAACCTGCAGCTGTCCAGCGGGCACAGGGCTGGAGAAGCAGTGGGCCTCCTCGTGCTGCCACCCAGGCCCCAAAGGAGTGAAGAGAAAGTTCAAGACGCAGAGGGGGAAGAGCTCCAGGGGCCTGACCAAGGGAGTGGGTGTGGGTGGCTGATGCTCTGGTTGGGCATGGGGGAGGGCTGAGACCAGGTGGCTTTAGGGACCAGAGAGTGGAAGGAAGAAGCAGAAGCTGCTCAAGATGAAGCCTGAGAGCAGCTTCATAGCAACTGCCCAAAGCAGCCGGGCAGGGCAGCACAGGGCTGGGACAGGGACAGCGGACTGGTCTCCACTCACCTTGCTACCCGCTCTGCCCTCCTGGTGTGCAGGGTTCCTATTCCCAGCTCCATCTCTTGTCAACCAGTGACCTCAGGCACGTCCCATCATCTCCCTGGAGCTCCGGGTCCACCTGCCCTCAGGGTGGAAGATGGAGGGTTATCACTCATCAGTTCCAAAGCCACAAAGCAGTGGTCCTAAGACTTAAATTTTTTTTTTAAGGCAACTTGCATTATATTTATTTTAAATTCACATTATACATTATTTTATAAAGGAGGCCTCATATCCCTCTTATAAATGGAAAGCCAGCAAACTCGCCATTCCTAGTAGGTATCCACACAAGTAAATCCCGGGCAGAGAAAACGACTCTCTCGCATCTTAGCTGGCCACTCAGGGTGTCCAAGGCTTAACCCGACGCCTGCTTTCTTTGTTTAAAAAAGCTTCTTAAAAGGACTTTTTAGAAGGGTGTTGAGGGCTCTCTAGCACCTTACCCAGACACTCCTGGATGGGCTCAGGGTACTGGAGAGAAACGAGGGAAGTGACTTTCTTCTGGGTGACTCGGAGCTGTCTGTGAAGGTCCCCCTCCTCTTGTTCACCTGCCCAAGCACTCCTCACCCTGTCAGGTCTCACAATGCCCCCTGAGCTGGGAAGCTCTGCGTGATCCTTGTCAAGCTGTTTAAAACAATTTAGTCTCCTTAAGGCATTTTCATGGCCCAGGGATCAGGCCGTGCCTATGTAGACAGAGAAGAGTCTCCATCCCTCTGGGTCCCATGCATCCATCCCCCTCCATCCTGCCACTGCTGTTCTTAGTGTCTTCTAAGTCCTTCTGGAACTCAGTTATTCAAATATGAGCAAACATGAATATTCTAATTTTTATCATTTTTAAATACACATCATAGAATATCAGACACCTTTTTCTGGCCCTTCACTTTTTTTTCTCTTAGCAACATGCCCTGGACACAGTTTATACCGAGGAGCTTCAGAGCTGTCCCTTGTTTGGTCTCAGCAGTCATCTGTACCATGGGAGGTGTCCTGGTTGACCCCCAAGGGCCTTGGCAGTGTGGGCCCGGCCACTCCGTGGGTGGATCTGACAGAAATGCCTTCACTTTTCCAGGACCAAGGGGGAAGCTCCTTGGATGGTTTAAGCTTAGTCCCAGGCCCGTCCCCAAGAAGCATCTGGGTGCCACAAGAAGTTGACCAAGGAGTAGCCTTGGAAGTTTCCGCCCGCTTGGTTTTCTGGCCCCATAGCAGTCAGGGTGTGATTTCTGCCCTCACCTGAAAGCTGTCCTCCTGTCATGCTGCACCCCAAAGAGGGCTGGGGACCCTTAACCACGCTGACAGCGGTGACCCTCTCCAGGCCAGTTTCTGTCCTGAAAAAACAAGGGCCAGACTAGAGGTTTTCTGAAGCCCTCTTCCTGCTCTAGAACCAGAGATACTGGCTACGGGCCCAGCCTTGCCTAAAGGAGTGTTTTTGTTTGGGTACCAGGGATGGAACTCAGGGGCATTTGATCACTGAGCCACATCCTCAGCCCTATTTTGAATTTTATTTAGAGACAGGGTCTCACTGAGTTGCTTAGTGCCTTGTTTTTGCTGAGGCTGGCTTTGAACTCCTTGATCCTCCTGCCTCAGCCTCCCCAGACTCTGGGATTACAGGCGTGCACCACCGTGACCAGCTAAAGCAATGTTTAATAGACTGCTGCGATCTAGCTGGGCATTGCCAGTGTTACAGCGCCCCTTCCTCTGCCACCCTAATTTTGATGAATATCTGGATTAAAGGAGTTAAGGGAAGACACAAAGAGCGACCCACCCCAGGTCTCTCGCTGTGAACTGGCTGATAAATAGATTCCCTTGTAACCAAACCAGGAGACCCCAGCCAATTTGGCTTGTGGACCTGAGAGTTTGGAAAGTTAGCCCATGGCGCCACCTGGTGGACTGTCTGGTGGAAGCAGGACGTCCCTCCATGGACCATCTCCTCCTCCTGCCCCAGGCAAGAGCTCTTCTCAGCCAGCCTGGGGTTGCCCTGACTTCCTAAGTTCCGTGATGATACTGCTGCAAGATTTCTTTTGGCCAGTGTGAGCAGTTCCACAGTAATCCCTCACTGCGGCCTCGTCCGGGCTGAGCCTCATGCCAGGAATATTCACAGGCTGCATTTCAACTTCTTGCAAACAAATAGATGTCTTTCCCTTTTGACAGATGGACTGAGACTCACATAGATGAGTATAACTTATATGTGGTTGCAGAGATGGTTGGCAGCATATTGGGGACCTGCCACACCAGTCCCCAGCAAACTATGAATCTGGGAGCTTTAGGAGTCTGTGGATGGGGTGTGGCTGGGGACCCCTGGGAGAAGGATCTGTCATGGGTCACTGGGATTGTTTTCAACTGCCTTTTGGTATTTAAGTGTTCAGTGCAGGAGACAGGATGAGAAATGTTAGATTTGGTTATTTTCTATCTCAGGTCCCTGCTGTCATATGACCCCGCAGAGGGACTTGCTT